GAGGCCCAGCTTTGCACTTGGGTCCTGGTCCCCACACTGCCTGGCCTGCATGCCTGGAATGAGCCAACGGGTCAGGTTGTGGTTGCTGGGCTGGTCTCCCGAGGCCCGGGAGAGCTCAGGGGAGTCCTGAGGACAGCAGTCTGGTGGGGTGCTCTGCTCTATTTCAGGACAGCTCACAAATAGCTGAATCAGGCCTCTGTGATGACCACAGTGGCTGCGGTGGGTGGAGGGCTTGCCCTCTCTCGCTGGATTTGCACGCCTAATTGTATATCTTACAGCTAAAAACGAAACCAGTCTCTGCAATTACCTGTCCCTGGCAGGCAGTGGGGAGCTGAAAGCACACCCTGAAACGGCTCGGAGGGCTGCCCAGCTGCTCCGTCCAGGCAAGCGCTCCGCCCTGCCCTGCCAGCCGGTCATGGGCGCTGCATAGGGCACCCCCACGTGCAAGTGCTTTGCGAAGGCAGGTGTGGACCAGGCCCGGCTCAGGTAGCTGCGGTACAGATTCCTTTTGCTCATAAACAGCTCTACTAACCTCATTCCTTTTCTTCTTTTTCAATTTAAATTTTGATTACAGGAATAACTCTTGGACAAGAAACAAAAAAGTGTCCCTGGCACCCTGCTCCTGCACCATAGTCAGGCCTGGCTGAGGTGTCCCCTTCCCTCTGGCCAGTGTCCCCTCCCTCAGTGTGACTGAGCCACTTGTCCAGGGACCCAGGATGTTCCTGGGCTAAAACAATGCCTTCCTCTGAGCCTTGCTTTTGTTATTTTACTTTTTTCTCTTTTTGGTGCTGAGGATAGAAGCACACGCTTGGGTTTCTTCATTTTAAGAGACTCTTTTTTTTTTTGGTACCAGGGATCGAACTCGGGACCTTGCACTTGTGAGGCAGGCACTGGAACCACTGAGCTAAATCCCCAGCCCTGGGTTTCTTCATTTTAAAGTTGTGGTTCTGTAGCTCAGTCCTGCAAGGCAAGTGGTCTTATTTTCCTAATAAACATCTTACTGCTAACGTTTCTTTGTTTTAGTTTTCTCGTACTCTTGTCTCTAGGAAAGGTGGCTCGCTGTGCCACTGGTCACCGGGGAGATTGTCGTTGCTGCTACCTGTGGGCCCTTGGCCCCTGGCAGGCCCCATCTGCGCAGTGTGACACGGGCATCTCCAGTTTGCTCTGTGCACATGGACATTTGCATTTGTCACTTTAAAAAAGTAAACAAAAGTGGGCCCCTTCTGCAGCTCGCTTTTCCTACAGGTGGGAAGGGGCTGTCTTTCCCTACCTCTCTCCCCTTCCTCCTGGCAGTCGCTTTCTCGATGCCATTGGACAGTTCTCTGTAGCACATTTGAGTTGTTCCCATTTTTGCCCCACTGTTACTGCTGCACTGTGGCCCCTCACACTCATGTGAATGCTCATAGTTCTCAAAACCTCCACCTCGTTCCTTTGTAAGTTTGAAGTCAAGACTCTCCAGTCTCTTTTCCATCCACTCTGCTCCTCCTTGTCCCTGCTCCAGCCACACTGGCCTCCTTGCTCCTCTGCACACAGGTGAAGTGTGTTCCTGCCACAGGCCCTTTGCACTTGCTGCTCCTTGTACCTAGACTGCTCTTCTCCAGGTATCTATGTGGCTCCCTGTCACCCTGTTCAGCTCTTTGCTCCAATGTCACCTTCCCATTAAGACCGTCCCTCGGCATCTTTCCTCCATGCCCCCCTTGCCTAGACACTGCCTGCCACCTTCCACAGTTGGTTTTTCTTATACCACTTACCACCCCAGGCTCACCTTTGCTTCTCTCTCCTACCAGCTGCCAGCATATTAGCATCTTGAAGGAAGAACCTTCCTTTGTCTACTGCCTAGTTTCTAGGGCTTCCAGCAGTACCTGACATGTAGTGGGTGCTTCATAAAAGGTTTGAATGAATCAGGGCCCTGAGATTTCCTCAAACCTGACCTGACCACTTGCCCACTCTGGGGCTCACAGCTCTCTGCTTGGCACTTGGCGTCCTTAATCTTTGTTATTGTTGCTGTTGTTTGAGACAAAGTCTCGCTTTGTAGCTCAAGCTGATCCTCCTGCCTTGGCCTCCCTATCTTGCTTTTATTATGAGCACCCCTCACCCCATCTTATTGCCCCTGCCCTGTGCTTGGGACCCCTTCTACCCATCTGAGGGTGCCCAGCCTCCCCCCTCCAGGGCCCTGGGTCTGATGAGGGACCTCGCAGTCCTGGAGGCGGCTGTGGCAGCCAGCCCATGACACAGAGCCTGGACACAGAAGAGCCTGGGGCCGTGGCGGCTCTGCTGCCCACAGCTCTGGGACTTGGGTGAGCTGTGCAGCATTTCTGAGCCTCCAGGAACACAGCCACCTGCTGTGTTGTAGAGTGAGGGCACGTTGGTCCCCCAGGAAGCGTGTGGTGTTGATTTCACCCCCTGTGGTCCCCTGGTATGGGCTGGGCCGGGCTGCCAGGCTTTTCCTGTGGGAGTGGTGACATCTGATAGGGATTGTGTAGAGCGCTGTGCAAATAGGAGGGAGGCCCCGTGCCAATCCCGTGATCCCAGGCCCTGCCCTGCCCCGCTCACCTTCCTGCAGGAGGAGGAACACGCCTGTCACCTGAGTCAGGAGAGCTCCACGTGGCTTTCTCCATCCTGGCCTGGCAGGACCACAGGAACCACAGATGGGCCTCAGGCTTCCTGGCGGGCCGTTCCCATGGCAGGCTCTCAAAAGGGAAGGGAGAGAGTGATTGGGTTCGCCACCAGCTTTTCTTCACAGGGGCTAACCCTCCTTCCTCAGGAGGGGTGTCCAGCACGCTCCAACCACAGACTCCCCACCCTGCTGTCTTCAGGGGCTGCCGGACCCCAGGCGGGGGTGGGGGTTGGGGCGTAGGGTGGAAGGCCCTGCTCCCCAGCCTGCCCCTGGCAAGCTTGGCCTGTGCCTGCTGGGAGGGCTCTGTTCTCTGCCCTTCCCCCACTGGTGCATGCCTGCTCTCTGCCCCTGCCTAAGCTGCAGTCTGCAGGGACCAGACCGCTGCTGCCAGACCGCTGAGACTCCTGGTAGCAGGATCCAGCCACCTGCCCCGCACTGACCTCGGCCCTGTCTGCTGCCCTCTTCAGCCCCTGGGCCTCATGCCGTTTGGCCATTTGCTGAGTTGTCACCACCTCAGAGCCTTGGCACTTGGTGTTCACTCTGTCCTCACTCCACTCCAAGCCTCGCTCAGGTGTCACTGCCCGAAGGGCCATTGCCAGCCGTCCTCCTGAAACAGCAGCCCCTGCCTTCCCATCTGCCTGGCACCCGCCTTCCCTGCCGTGTTCTCCGTGTTTCTACTTATCTGACCCACTGTGTGTGTTCTTAGGGGGAGACGTTTGTTGAGATGTAATTCGTAAACCGTGTAATTCATGAGTTTAAAATGTGTGATCCAGAGAGTGGTTTTTATCATTTGTTTTGGTGGTGATGGGATGGAACCCAGGGCCTCACTATGCTAGGCAAGCGCTGTCCTGCTCAGCTGCACCCCAGCCTGCCCAGGGTGGTGCAGTCGTTTGCAGAACGTTTCCCTCATCCCACCAAGAGAATCATACCCAGTGGCCATCACTTTCCTCCAGCGTCCTCATCCTGTGGCAGCCACCAGTGTACTTTGTCTCTGTAGATTTCCCTGCTGTGAATGAAGCAGACGGTACGTTGTCCTTTGTGTCCACCTTCCTTTGCTTAGCCCCTGGCATTAATGTTTTGAAGGTTGACCCACATTGTAGCGTGTGCATGTCCTGTATTGCCTTTTTATTCCATCTTGTGAAGAGACCACCAGGCATCATCCATTCCCCAGTTGGTTGACATTTGGGTTACTTTTACTTTTTTATAACTGTACTAGGGATTGGACTCAGAAGAGCTCTCTCTACCACTAAGCTACATCCCCAACCCTTTTTATCTTTTTTAGAGAGACAGGGTCTTATAAAGTTGGCCTGGTGAGACTTGAACTTGTGATCCCCCTGCCTCAACCTCCTTCAGTGCTGGGGTTACAGGCACAAGCAGTGTCCAGCTTGGCTTTTGCTCTTTGGCTGCTGTGGGTAGGATAATGCTGCTGTGTGTTTAAGTTCAAGTTCTTGTGTGGATGTAGGTTTCGTTCCTGTTGGGTGTGTGCCTAGGGGTAGAATAGCCGGGTCATGTGTGGTAACTGTGTAAACTTTGGGGTGGGATGGTCTCGGAGATGCAGCAGGTCCCTGCTGGCCCCATGGATCCCCCTGCCAAACTTTGCTGGGCTCTGTGTTCAGGCACCGCCTGACTCGGACCCGGCCTGGCGGCTGTCCCGTGTTCCGCAGGTGACCCAGAGCTCGCTTCCTCAGCTGCCCGCCTGGCCGCCAGGTTAGGTGAGATGAGCTGAGATGCCGTCTCTCCGCCCTGGCCTTCTGAGCACCACCTGTGCCGCCTCTGTCCCCAGCCCTTGCCAAGCCCCTGCAGCAGCCAAGAGAGGCACCCACGTCCTCCCTGGCATGCGGTGCTGGGTTCGTTAGCGTGGCTGGGCCCCAAGCCCTCCTTTAATGTCAGGAAGGCCAAGGGCCCCGAGCTGGTGCCAGGCTGCTTGGGTTCAGTCCCTGTTCTGCCCTTGCCAGGAGCCCACCTGAGGGGGGTGGCAGAGCCCCCAGAGCTCCCAGTGTCTCTGAGGAATGGGTGACAGTAACAGCAGCCCAGACACCGGCTGGAAGGCTTTGGCACGGGTACAGCCACCTATCTGGCACTCCGACTGAGCTCATGGGAACTGGCACATGGCAATTGATCTCACAGCAGCCGTTAGGGTTGTTGTAGTCATTGCCGCGGATGGCAGAGCCAGCCTGAGGACCTGTCTTGTACTGCTTCACTACCTAGTACATGGTGTTTTATGTGTTTACAAGGGTTACACAAGCACGTTCTTGTAAAAATACAGTCACTTTGTGATATAGAGTGAAACATGAGAGCTGCCTCCTGTCCCACTGGCAGCAGGGCCACTAGGGATTGGCCACGTGCCTGCCTGCCCCCTACTCACCTGCCCGGCCGTCTGCAGGGAGGAGGTTCAGGAGAACTGTGTGCGCTGGCGGAAGAGGTTCACCTTCATATGTAAGATGAGTGCCAACCCAGCCACGGGCCTACTGGACCCCTGCATTTTCCGCGTGTCTGTGCGCAAGGTGAGGCCGGGCTCCTGGAACTGGGCCAGGGGTGCTGTGAGCCTGGGGCTGAGGGTGGGGGTGGGGCTGATGGTCTGGGGGCTTTAGGACCTTCCCCTGACTTGTTCCCTCCCGGGGAAAATGTGGGAAGCTGCTCTGCTCTTTATCGTGTCCCCCGTGCTGGTGCTCAGAGCTCAGAGTTGGGGGGACCTGGGGAGACTCACAAGGAGTGTGGAGCTCCCCAGTGATCCTGCTGCTTGTGTTTCCCTCCCTGTGCAGGAGCTGAAAGGCGGAAAGGCTTATTCTAAGGTAAGAGGAACTGTGGGAAGGGCAGTGGGGGTGCGGGGGGGGCAGGACTTCAGCCTCTCTCCAGCCCAAACAGGAGACGCCGAGCCCTCCATAAGGTGGATTATTTGGTGGACTATTTTGATTGTGAGTCTTGGCACTTGATGTAACAGCAGCATTTCCTCATTGCAGTACAGTGGTGTAAAGGTTCACAGTGAAAAGGCGCTGTCAGTCCTCCTCCTCTCTTCCTCCTCCCAGGGCTGCACTGTCAGTGTTGGTTAGGATCTTTCCAGACCTTTTTGGGTCATGCTAGGGCTTGAACCCAGGACCCCTCACATACCAGGCAGGTGCTCTGCCCCTGAGCCACACCCTCAGCCCCAGACCTTTTAAGGAAAAAGAAAAGTTGTCTCCATGTACAGCAGTGAATGAAAAGCCTGCTGCGAGTGATGTGCTCGTGTGCCTGCACGCACTGTGGTTCCTGAAACACGCGATGCACGCACTCTGCAGCTGGGCCTTTTGCCTGCCCGGGATATCATGTCATCACAGATTTCTCTGTGCTTTCATGGGAGCAGCATCCCATTGCATGGTGGTGACAGCTGACTTCCACAGTCCCTGCTGTTGGACATCTGTGTTGGTGCCAGGTTTTCGCAGCCCGGCTCAGCCCTGACCAGTGAGGCCTTTACTGTGGGAAGAGCAGGAGAAGAGAGCGCTACCCTCTCTCTGAGCCTCTCTCTGGGAGACCCTTACTCCCCCCGCCCCACACTCCTGAAGGCGCCCAGCAGCAGCCCCTTCTGGAAGGCCTGAGGAAAGTGCTGTGGACACTCAGCCCTCCCTGCAGACCGCAGCAAACCCTACAGAGTGTGAGGCTAGCGCGGAGCTCCGTGTAGAGAGCTTGCCTAGCGTGCACGAGGCCCCAGGCTCCACAGCACAGCTCCCCCACCAAAAAACTGAACGGAAGCAGAGGGCAGGGTGGCTACAGCCTGCTGGGGAGGGAGGGCCTGGCAGAGTAGAAATTTCTCTTGTATCATGTGGGTGAGGATGGCCACCCAGCTAGGGAAGAAGCTACCAGCACACTGCCTGGACCATCGGGCAGGTGCTGATCAGGCAGCCGGTATGATGTGTCGCCCCTTGCGATGGCACCTCAGCTTTCCACCCTATTACACAGGGAGAAAACTGATGCCCAGGGAGGTGTCAGGTCCCGGCACTGATCAACCTAATTTGCATGCTGTGTGCAGGTCAAGCTCTGTGTGCTTGATCAAGTCCCTTCCCCTCCCTGAACTCACTCCTCATCTGTAAAACCAAGTGCAAGTGCCAGCAAGACTCCCTCCGCCCTCCCTCATCTCATCCTCGGTCTGTACAGGAGGGTCCCTCCGAGTCATGCAGGCTGGGACCCAAACCCAGCTCCTTGAATCTGGAGTCTGTGCCCCTAAACCCTACAGTAGAGACTTGTGTGCAGCTGGCGCTTAGTAAATAGCCATGATGGCTTTGGCTGTCTCTGAAGTCCCCAAACCTGTCCCCACCTCATCCTTAGTTTCCCCTCCAGTGAGGCAGGCGAGACCTCCTTCCAGCCCATGCCCTGCAGCCAAGGAGCAACCCGAGTCCTCAGGACCTGGCCAGACCCCACGCTCTGCCCACCAGCCTCTCGCTCCTGCCCCCACCAGGGGACTCTGCTGGGGATCCTGCTCACTCTGCAGGGTCTCCTCCCTTCCTAGCCCCCCATGTCCCATCAGCCCACCCTGCCACCACATTCCCACGGGCCTTCCCTCCTCCCCTGCCTGGTCTCCTGGCAGCTCCTGACAGCACAGCCTTGTTTCCCAGGGAACAGTGCATCTGTGTTGCAGACAACAATGCCCTTTCATCTCAGGCGCACTGGCCTGGTGCACACTGGGACGGAGCACAAAGGATGCTTTGTGTTCCTCAGGGATGCAAGCTCTCGCTTTGCCACGTCCATGCTGGCAACCCAGAGCCCCATCCTTGGGACCCGCTTATGCAACAGCCGGTTGGGGGCCACAGGGCGGTCCCAGGGGCTCTGATTACTCTCCTCGCCACCCCAGCCCAGTTAACCCTGTGGCATCTGCTGGCCCTGCAGCCTCCCAACAAGCCTCTTGCCTCCACAGCTGGGCTTTACCGACCTGAACCTGGCCGAGTTTGCAGGCTCGGGCTCCACAGTGCGCTGCTGCCTGCTGGAGGGGTATGACACGAAGAACACCAGGCAGGACAACTCCATCCTCAAGGTACCGGCACCCTGCTGCCTCTCCCACCACCACCCCCATTAGAACCCTCATCAGAATCCCCCAGAGGGTTGCTAAAAATACAGCTTCCCACCTGGCCAGGCAGCAGGAGCCACTGGGATCAGGCTGGTTCCCCATGCGAGCTTGAGGGTAGGCCACTGCAGTCTGTAAGGGTTTAGCGAACCCCTCAGTATGATCAGCCTGTGCTGAGTTCTTGTGTCTCCTGCCTCATGACCATGACCATGACAGCTGCCCCAAGTGTGCCCCGGGTTACACAGAAGGGCGCTCAGAAGTTCATTTATTCGTCCAGGGTGTGGTCAGACTGGCACTTGACCCCCTGCCATTGGACTCCACAGACCAGCTTCACCACTGCCCTGTGTGACCACCTGGCTCCTGGAGGGTGTTGGTCGAAGAACTGGTGTCCTGGGCTCATGTGCATGGTCTGACGCCCAGGGGATGCCCCCCACTGGCTACATACAGGTTGCTGGTGGCTGGCACAGCTTCCCTGGCTGGACAGCTTCTCTGTGGCCTCTCAGGACCAGAGATGTCTGGGCATCCCCCCCCCCCCCCCCCATGGCTGTCTGCACGTTTCCATCTGGCTTGTGTCCTGATAGCACTTCCAAGCTCTAGCTTGGGGTAGCCAGCTGGCTCAGTGTGGAGCTGGGCATGAGGTGCTGGGTACAGGCTGAGTGCTCAGCCAGGCCTTTCAGTCCCCCACACCCTCGGCCAGGGCAGATGGAGGGGTCTGGGAGTCAGATGGCCTTGCGTTCAGGCGACTGTGGCATATCCTGCCCACAGGGTTGTGGTCCATCACTTCCCCTCTCTGAGTCTTGGTTCCCTCATCTGTAACCTGGGGCTGTCACCCACTTTGTAGGCTGCTGTTGTGGCCAAGTGAAATAATCCATAAAACCCTCAGCCCAGTGGTTGCCACTTAGGTCAGGGGTTCTGGGACCTGAGCACCCCTTTCCCACCTGTCACTCCATCTCATCCCAGATTTTGGGACCCAGACTTTGCCATGTTTGGGCCATTGCCAAAGTCTTTGCCCAAGTGGATGCTGAATTCCTAATTGGCTCCATGTTTCACTGTAGTCCTCAAACTCCCCATGGAGGTCCTTGTGTACCCCCACCCCCAGGTGGGGCTCCTTGAGCTCCCACTTCCTGCCGGGGTAGGCGCTGTGCCCCAGGCCCAGTTGGGCCCTGCCACAGAGGAGCTTGGACTGTAGTAAAAGTAGCAAAGTAGCAGGTGCTGACTTGGTGGGCTCTTTGCTCGCTGGCCAGCCACATCTCACTGCTGGCCACCCACCACTCCACCAGGCAGGCCTGGGGCTCCCTTTCTCCTCTGCACAGGAAATGGGCTCCAAGAGTCAGGTGGCTGTGCGCCCAGGCAGGAAGGGGCAGGTAGGGCCTGGAGTCCCTCTAGGGCTGGAGCCAGGAGACTGTAGGCAGCTGTGCCTGGGCTGAGTCTCCCTCTTCCCCAGGTCACCATTGGAATGTTCCTGCTCTCTGGAGACCCCTGCTTCAAGACGTGAGTGCCAGCCAGGACACCTGGGGCGTTGGGAGCTCGGTCCTGGGTGTGGTGGTTGGGGAACAGGGACTCTTCCTTCCTCCAGGCTATCCCTGTCTGTATCCAATTCTGAGATGGGACACCCCAGTCACACTCCTCCCTGCTCCCCAGGCCAGCATCCACTGCCAAGTCCATCTCCATCCCCGGCCAGGATGCCTCTCTGCAGCTGACGTGTAAAGGCGGTGGGACCAGCAGTGGCGGCGGCGGCGGCACCAACTCTCTCACAGGCTCTCGGCCTCCCAAGGCCCGGCCCACCGTCCTGGGCTCAGGTACCGTTGCCCACCTGCCTACCCCTCCCCGGCCAGTGACCACCCTTTGACCGAAGCAGCATCCTGGGCAGGTGCTTAGGAGGGGAGGCTGCTGGCTGGCAGTGTGTGCTTCTGTTCAGGCCCCCGTTGCCCCGGGTCCCAACAGTCGCCCTTTGCACACAGAGGAGACCCTCTAGGCGGACGGGAGAAACAGCTATCCAGGTGATAGGATAGGCGCTTCCCCTGTAGACGTCGGGGAAGGACCACAGGCCCAGAGAGGATCTGTGGACGCCAGGGAGGGCTGCTCCAAACTGCAGCCTGGTCCCTCCCAGCTGCTGTGAGTGGCCATTGTGCCTCTGCAGTGTGTGTCCTCTGGGAAGTGCAATTGTCCTAGTAACTACACCATAGTTTACTGCAGGGACTAGCTGAGCTCATTAAATACATTTACAGCCTGCCTGGGCTGGCTTTGATCACATTCTTATCACATTCCTGTTGGTGCCGAAGTTGTTATGGAAACAGCATTGAAGTTGTTATGGCAACAGCATTCGCGCTACCCTCTGGGAAGCAGCCCAGATCTCCAGAGGCAACAGTGCGGGCCTTTAGGAGGGGTGGTGCTGCCCATGGAGGAGGCCCTGGCCTGGCCCGGACTTGTTCGTATTCGCTGTCCCTCCTTTGAGATCTGTCATTGTGCAGGGTGCAGCTTGCAGCAAGGCTCCAGAGGTGTGAGCCTCTGGCCCCAGCCACCCCTAGGGTGGGCTCAGCTGGGAAGCAGGCCCCAAGCTAATCTGTGAGCCAAGCACCTGCTCCTGTCAGATCAGTGCCTGGAGAGTAATTAGCGCTGCCCTCTGGGCTACTTGTAATCCCAACCCTTGGGAGGCTCTGGCAGGGGCGTGGCCACCAGTTAGTAAATTCAGCCTGAATTACATAGGGAGACTCTGTTATAAAAGAAAAATCAAGCAATTAGAGAGGGCGCAGGCCTGCCCCCAGAGCCTGAGAGCTGTGAAGGACCTCTGGCCTCCGGGCTGGCCTTCCTGGGCCAGTCTTTCCTGTACACCCAGCCAGGCAAGGCTGGGAGCAGAAAGCTGGGGTTTTTGCCCGCTGCACTTGGAGCGTCCCAGCCGTGCTGCTCTCTCCAGCCTCAGGGAAGAGAGATCTGGGGACCAGGCAGTGCCTCTCCTGGGCAGGACGGGATGTGAGGCCCACTGGCCCCGCCATCTGCAGCGGGCCTGTTGGAGGTTTGAAGGTTGGGGGATGCTTTTTGCTGGAGATAGGATGGATGAGTCCTGCCTTCCCTCTTGTGTTGAGGGGGAGCCTAGGCCCCACCTAGGACATGGTTCCCTGATGTCTCCTACTTGGGGGGGGGGGTGCCTGGAAGCTTGGCCCTTGGGGCCTGGTCTGCTCACCTCCTCTGCTCCACAGACCCAGGCTCATCCCAGCCTCAGGGCTTTTGCCTGTGCTCCTCCTCTGTCGGGAAGGCTTAGTCCCCACCGCCCTAAGCGGCAGTTGGCCTCTGCCTCCTGCATGTTGACGGTCTAGTGTAAAGGAGAAGCCCTTTCCCATCCCCGGTCTAGTGTAAAGGAGAAGCCCTTTCCCATCCTGTGTGGGCCCGGCCCTGATGTGTGCTGCCCCTGCCTGAGCCGCTCCCTGTGGTTATGAGTGAGTGTAGCTCACGTTCCGTGTAGCTTTCTCCTCTTTGCTGGCCTGCAACAGGTGCACTCTATGAATACAGGAGGTCCCCACCAGTGTCCGGAATGAGCTTCAGACCCAGCTTCAGAGGGTGATCTGTGGCTTGGCACAGGTGCTGCTGCTCAGTTTTCCAGTCTGTGGAATTGAGATGCAGAGTGCCCTGCAGGAAGCTGGCAAGAAGAAGGTGTGCAGGCGTGGGTGGGCAGTGCTGGGTAACTTGTGTCGCCTTATGCAGGGCTGCTGGAGGAGCCAGACCAGAACCTGTCCAGCCCAGAGGAGGTGCCGCACTCTGGCCACTCCCGCAGCTCCAGCTATGCCAGCCAGCAGTCCAAGGTCTCTGGTGAGTGGCCTGGCCCTGTGCCCACAGCCCCCACCCGCAGCCCAGGATGCCCAGAGCTCATGCTCCCTACTGCTGCCCAACCCGCCAGGCTACAGCACAGAGCACTCGTGCTCCTCCAGCCTGTCGGACCTCACGCACCGCCGCAACACGTCCACTAGCAGCAGCGCCTCAGGTGGCTTGGGCCCGGCTGTGGAGGGCCCCGAGGGTGGCGAGCGTGAGCACCGGCCCCCCGAGAAGCCGCCGAGACCCCCTCGGCCTCTGCACCTGTCGGACCGCTCATTTCGGTGAGTCCCTGACTCCCAGTGGGTCCCTCAACCTGTCCTTCATCTGTCACACAGGCACAGTGAGAGTAGGTACCCAGTCTAGATGTTTGGATGACGAGTGTCATGTGGGGCCCAGCCCCAGGCCTGACGTTCCAGTTTTGTATGTCTGTACTCGAGTGATCTGTGGGCCTAACAGACCTGAGGTTGAGCCTTAGATCCACCACGTACGTGCTGTGTGGCCTTGAGCAGGTTCCTTAACCTCCCAGTGCCCCCGTGCCCCCTGCAGCCAGGTGATAGTCGCACCTGCACCCTAGAGTCTGGAGAGGGCACATGAAGTACAGCATTCTGAGTGCTGTAGGTGCTGGGCTGTTACTGTCTTGTTGCTGCCCTGACCATCCCTGCCCCACCCAGGCGGAAGAAGGACTCAGTGGAGAGCCACCCGACCTGGGTGGATGACACCCGGATTGACGCGGATGACATTGTGGAGAAGATCATGCAGAGCCAGGACTTCACAGATGGTAGCAACACTGAGGGTGAGCTTTCCCCACACTCACCCCCAGGTGACTGCTCCAGGGCTGTCCCCGGATTGCTCAGCCTTCATCCTCTGTCCCCACAGACAGCAACCTTCGGCTGTTTGTGAGCCGTGATGGCTCAGCTACGCTCAGTGGCATCCAGCTGGCCAACAGGTAGGGGCTGGAGGGCCAAGGGGCGGGAGGTGGGAGCAGAGCATTTGGTCCTCTGTCCAGCTTTGGGCAGCAGCCCTTGTCCCCACGGCGTGACCCTGGGCAGTCACATCTCTGAGCCTGTGTCCCATCTGTCCAGTGGGTGGGTTCCCAGGGCCCCCTCGGAAAGTACCCAGCCCAGGGATCAGCATAGTGCAGCGGCTTAGTGCATGTTTCCTGTGGGCCCTGCTTTCCTTCTCCCTCCTGGGTCCCCAAACCTCTAAACCTGTGTTGGGGATGACTCCCTTGTGAACTGAACAAGGATTTATTGATCACCTGCTGCATACCAGAGCTAGGTGCCAGGGACACAGCTGTGAACAGCACAGGTGTGTGCCGCGTGACCCTCGTGGAGGAGCGGCCAGCGATCCGCAGAGTCTCCTTCCAGGCTCTCCTTTACGGTGCAGCACACACTGCATGCCTGGCTCACCACATGTTTCACCAAGTGGGCGACTGGAGGAGCTCCCTGCCTGTGGGCTAGCCGAAGGCTTTCCCTGTGGTGCTGGGGAAAGGGCGACGAAACCTCTGTCCCCAGCTGGTGGTACTTGGCTGGCCAGCCTTGCTCCCAAACCTGCCCTCCCGTGTTGCTCGGCTGACCTCTGCTGGCCCAGGCGTGAAACTACACCTGTCGTCTCGCAGCCGACCGGCTGCCCTGCCCTGGCTGGGCAGTCTGGGCTTCCTGGGAAGTAAAAGTCCTGGCTAGTCCCCTCGGAATGAAAATGAGTGGGGCAGGAGCCCCGTCTGGCCGGCACCAAGACCGTGGTAGGATGGCATGCTGAGCCCTAGTGCTCCCTGCCGCTTCAGAGGAGGGCAGAGGCTCAGCACCCATCCGTGCCTTCGTGGGTGGGCCTGGCCTCAGCAGGGGAGGAACTGAGTGGGCCCCTTGGCCCCCCCCCCCAACTTGGGAGCCTCACAGTCCTGCTGGGCCTCGGATTCTTCATCTAGGAAATGGGGGCAGGATAGTCCTCCTCTGCCAGGGTTACCATGAGGGTGGCGGTGGCACACCTGGGTGTGTGAGCGGCAGGTTCCCTGCAGGACCTGGACACTGCCTGTGCCAGCTCTGTGGACCCCACAGACTCACCTAAACATCCCTGTCACTCCAGTCAAGTGACTTAACGTCTCTGAGCCTCAGTTTTAGCTTCCAGACAAAACAGGCTGCCTGCGCGGTACTCTTAGGGGCCTGGCCAGGCACCAAGTGACCGGAGGGTCGAGGAGACCATGACCTGACTGTCTCCCCCCGCAGGGTCTCCTCGGGGGTCTACGAGCCTGTCGTGATCGAAAGCCATTGAAGAGTGGGTGTCAGGCTGGAGAGGGGCCTGCCCTCTGGGGCACCAGACCTGTGCCCTTCCGTGAGGAATCGCCTCCCTCGCGTCCGTGCTGCGTCTCATCTATGCCTGCTCTGTGCACTCTGGCCACCTGTTCCCGAGCATCATTCCATGGTCCCCAACCTCCCAGGATCCTCCTGGCTGCCAGGGCCCCCACCACTGTGAATAAACATTCTTCTGAACCACTGTGGGCCGCGCGGGGAGGCCCACGCTGAGGGCAGGACGGAGACACAGGCCTGGGATGCCCCTGCCCCCCAAGACATGCAGCAGCTCCTCGGTGTGCGGGACCCCTTCGGCTGTGGGGCTCCTCCTCCTGTCACCTGTACACCCCAGGAGTGCTAGCTTCGGCCAGGCACCGACAGGGCCGTGCTCCATCGCCCCTGGCCCTTGCGGAGCCAGACCACCCTCAGAGCTCTGCCACCTGTGACCTTCTTCTTAGTGTTTCCGCCGTCCCTTCCTGTATCCTCGGGGACCCACAGGCAGCCTCCTCCTGGGGGCCAAACCTCAGCCCCAACTCACTCCAGACTGAGCCTCCTCTGCTTCCCCCAACGAATGTCCTCCTGCCACCCTGGCAGCCTGCACTTTGCACATGTTGTCCCCAGCACAGCCCCACTGGGCCCCGTGACCCCTCCCTGACGCCTCCTGGGCACTGCCCGCTGTGCGGGGATGGGCCCAGGGTCTGCAGCCCACCCAGAATTCAGGCTGCCTCTGCCCCTGCCTCGCCCAGCTCACGCCCAACCTGCCAGGGAAGCGGCTGGTGTCACAGTGTCCCTGCCCAGGGCTGGCTCCTGAGCAGCTGGTCCTCCACAGGAAGGACGGCCCAGCGGGGCTGGGCGAGCAGAGCGCCTTGCTGCACCCTCAGGACTGTGGCCCTGCTGAGACCAAGGCTGGGGAGGCTGGCGGCTGTGGCTGGACTGGCCTGAAGCTGGCTTCCTGCCCAGGCAGGGAGGGGCTCCCCAGGAGCGCTTTCCCAGCAGGGAGCAGTCTGGCTCCCCCAAGCCTCCGGTCTCAGCACTTTGGCCCAGGTCCTCAGAATTTGCTTGAAGGAGGGTCTGGCTGCAGCCAGGCTCAAACTCCCCGATCCCTTTAAGTTGCCCCCATTTTGTATAAACCCAGCGGGCTGGTGTTTACTTAGGTCTGTAGGTTTTTTTCTTGTTGCCTTCCTCCTTTTTTTGTTCTTTTTTTGAGTTCACAGTTCAGTCTTTCCTCCTCCTGGGTGAGGAGGAGATGCCTGTGTTCTCACCCTTTCTGCCAGCTGTGCCCCAGCAGTGCTGCGGACCCAGGTGGGCCAGGAAGCTGGTGTGAGTGCCCTCACCGGCCAGGAGGGTTCCTCCCCGACCCTGCACTGCCCCGGCTGGCAACAGTGGGCTTCTGGGTTGCAGAACTCCCTGATGCTGGGACCAAAGTATTTGTAGGGCTTTTGTTTCTGTCGTCATTTTAATCACCTGGTAACTCAGCAAGTGAATGTTGGAAGGTGCCTGCGAGACAGGACAGAGCATGGGCTCTGGCTGCAGGACCTCTAGCCAGCTCGCAGCATCCCTTCCTGCCCGGCAGAATCCTGGCACTTTAAAAGGAAGCTGGCCATTCCCTCTCCAGATGAGGTGACCTCCAGAAGATGGGGGCACTGACCTTCCGTCCTGTAGCTCTCTGGCCTCACCCTACCCAGTGGGAGGTGCGGTTAGAGTCTAATTGGGGCCTAAATTAAAGTTCTGGGGCTTTAGGCATTGCTAGGGGGAGCCCCAGCCCACCCACGGAAGTCTGAGCTTGATGGTCCCCCGAAAATGACCGCCTGCCACATCCTTCCACACCAGGCCCCAGGCCAGGGTAACCAGGATGAGAATCAGACCATAACCAAATGAATGCTGGCTGGAACCAGGGACCTGGAGCGGTGGCCTTGTCCCCATGTGGGAGCCCTTTTTTTCAGCCTACAGATCCCTTTAAGCTCAGTGAATTTCTACCAGGTGCCCCTACACCTGGACTTCAAATTCTACATAGAGAAAGGATATATTAGAGATATTTTTGGAATGGAATTGGTCTATGCAATGCCGGTTTGGAGTCTTGAAAGACAGTTTTAACGTTTTTACTAGATTTAAAATAAAGGTCTACAATTTTTTTAGATTTGTTTTTCCTGGTCACCCCGTAACTGATCACGTGGCATGATCTACCAGGATGGCGAATGTCCATTTGCCTGTCTGTAGGGAGGTGATGGAGGGGGGTCGTTTTTCTTTTAATCTCCTCCTTTCTAATAGAATGTTGCCACCACTGCACCCCATCCCATGGGCTGTATTTGTATCTGTCCCAGCTTCTCTCCTAGGAAATAACATTGTAAGGGGAAATCAGCCTAGTGTCCGTGTCTTGGTTTGGGGAGAAATTAAATGTTGCAGTTTTTGGGTTTTTTTGCTGTTTTGTTTTTTATGTCATCACTTTACCACATTGGCTTTGGGATCAAAGTCATCACGGGGGTCCTGCGGGGGGGAGCTACAAAGCCATCACAGGAAGGCAGATGTACAGGGTGGCATTCCAGAGTGGGCAAGACATAGGTAGCCAGGATTCTCCAAGCCCTGAGCGTGGTCACAGCCATCATTACTTTTATTACCCCAGATTCCTGGGAGGGAAACTGAGGCCCAGAAGGACAGTTCCTTGCCAGTCTCACCTAGTAAGTGGCAGCTTTAACCTGAGGCCAGGTAACTGCCAGTGGCTTCAGCTGCAAGTGAGCCTTGGGGTCACGTGAGGGTGGGGTGTGCAGCCTGACCGACAGGGGTGCCCAGCTGCTTCCCTGGCTCCCTGACGCTCCTGGCAGGACTTAGCTCTGGGCTCAGCCTAGTCCCTTCACCCCGTTCCTGCCTCTCCCAAGTCACAGAGGAGCTTAGGCCCAAGCCTAACTCGGGAAGGATAGTCAACTGAGGCCTTTAGTGAGCTTAGAGATGGGTGGCAGGAAGGATTAGTGGTTAGGACCAGACTCCAAATAAGGCCACCGAGTCTGCCCCAAAACAGCATCCCCCCTTCTCAGGGCTGCCTCCCATAGCCCCTTTAATCCCAGGGCCTGATTACCAGTATCTTCCTCTAGGCCACCCTGGAGAAGGAAAATGAGTTGGGATGTGGAGGGAGAATCGAGCTATAGGCCTTAAGGGTTGGACTTGCCAGCTTTGGGAGGGCAGCCACTGTCATCAGCAACGGGCTTGGAGGACCTGAGGAGACTAATGCAGCCGGATTAGCCAGCCACACCACGCTCAGACCGCATCTCTCCCCAACCCCCGAGTAGAGTCCAGGCCCAAGGCCTCCCTGTAACCCTCACAGAGGCCTGGAGTCTCCCAAAATGCTGGACTCTAGCACTGCAGGATCTAAGAAAGTACATATCTTAAAGCTGATTGATTCAGAACTTGTGTAAACCCTGTTCTGGGTGCTGTGGTTACAGCAGTGACCACACATCCTGCCCTTAGCAGTCTCAGGTGGGCTCGGCCACCAGAGTCAACTAATTAGAATCCACTGTAGCAGGCAACTTGATCCTAGCACTCTGGGAGGCTGAGGCAAGAGGATCAGATTCTAGCCCAGCTGGGGCAACTTAGCAAGACCCTGTCTCAAAATTTTAAAAGGCTGGGGTTCTCATTCAGTGCAAAGGCCCTGGGTTCAATGGACAATATGGCAATCAATCACTAAAATGTCTCAACGCAGCATCTTGTGATAGTGGGGCACAGAACAGGGAATCCCCTCCTCCAGCTGGAAAGCAGGTTCTTGGGGGGAGAGTCGCATCTATGAGCGCTCACAAGGTGAGAAACAGCCAGCCCCACTTGCTGTAGGACACTACCAGGCATCAAAGACGACCCAGCCCAGCCTCTGCTTGTTCTGAGGGGAAAAGGCCTGGACGACTGGGGAGGGACCTGGCCATCGGGCCAGTGGGAAACCTGCAACACCCAGGAGGCAAGACAATGAAGGGAGGGAGGGGACACCCCCAAGAGTCTCCAGGAAAGCCTGGCGCTGGTCAAAGGGAGGCCCCTCTCTGTCAATCGAAATCTATCCCCTTCCTACAGACCTGGGCCAGCCTTTCCCCTCACATCAAGCCAGGCAGTGAACAGTTTCGGTAAACACCCAACAGACAAACTGGGGCCTCGGGACCGGAAATAGGACACCCAGGTTCCAGTGTCCCTATACCTCTGATCTCTGAGCCTCACTTGTCCCGTTTGAAAATCGGGACTTCTGATCCCAAACTTTGCTCTGGTCTTGGAACTATGAGATGTTTAAAGACGCACTGGGGGCGGGAGGGTGGGGGTGGGAAGGACTGTGGCCAAGAAGGCCAGGCAAGTCTGGGTTCCAGCTGAGTTCCAGTTCCTAGGGAGAGTTCTGGCAAGGACCTGATGGTGCCCTTGAGAAACTACACTTCCCAGCATACAAAGGGAAGCGGCGCCTGCAAGTCTCGGATAACGTGGTCCTGGGCCGGCCTGCGCACTACGACTCCCGAGGTGCCTCGCGGCCTAGAGTCAGAGAGGCCCGGATCCGGAACCGGGTGTGGCTTGCTGCTCCGTGGCGGAGCGGGAGCGCGGCGGAAATGGTGAGGCGGGCGTGGAACGCCTCTGGGGTTAGGGATTTCTGCGGTGGGGATCGGGGAGGGCGTGCTCGGGAGCTGGGGCCTGGGTATTCCGAGCTGAGATTGCTCTCCTGCTGGCCCATATTACGGGTGAAAACGCCGAGGCTCGGCACTCTCCCAGCCTCCAGATTGGTGCCGAGTCAGCCCGTTGCGCAGCTCTTGAATGAATGGGAAATTTAGGACGTAACCTGGCTGCGACGCCCCTTCCTTTGATGCTCTAAATGTGGTCACTTTGTCAACTGAGCCCTCCCTTTTCTCTAGGCCACGGGGACAGACCAGGTGGTGGGACTCAGCCTCGTGGCCCTTAGCCTGATCATCTTCACCTACTACACCGTCTGGGTGATTCTCTTGGTATGTGTCTCCCCCTCCTTCGCCTCGCCTTCCCTCCAGCTCTGGATTTTGAAGCCGACCCCTGACACCCAGTAACCAGCCACCGTGTGGCGCAGTGTGCTGGGTTCTTCACCTGCTTTATCTTATGAAATCTCTACATTTTAAAGAAAAGCAAAGCCAGGTGTGGTGGCGCACACTTGTAGTCCCAGCACTTGGGAGGCTGAGGTAGGGGGATCACCGCAAGTTCGAGGCCAGCCTGGGCTACCTAGTGAATTCAAGAACTCACATAGCGAACTACATAGCGAGACCTTGTCTCAAAGAGAAAGCCGGAGATTTAGCTCAGTGGCACCGCGCCTGCCTCACAAACCCAAGGTCCTGAGTTCGATCCCCAGTACCACAAAAAAAAAAAAAAAAGAGAGAGAGAGAGAAAGAAAAGTATTTACCTAGTGCTCTGATGGGGCCGGTGCCTTAGACAGAGGGAGTTCGATGTTTGGCCTTGGGGTTGGGCAGAGAGCACAGTGCTCACCAGAGCTCTGTCCTCTATGCCAGCCGTTCATCGACAGCGAGCATATCATCCACAAGTACTTCCTGCCCCGAGCCTACGCCATCGCCATCCCCTTGGCTGCGGGCCTGCTGCTGCTGCTTTTCATGGGTAGGTCACCGACCTCTCCCATTCCACACCCGGGCACTTGCTGGGCATCTGCTTGAGACCCGTTGACCTAGCTCACCCTAGGGTTTCCCTGTTCATCATGCGTAACCTCTCTGGTCTCCCTAAAGCCTTAGGCTCTTGGGACCCTAATGGCAGGTGTCCCTTTTTCCTGCCCCCAGCCAATCATCACTGCTCACACCTCAGTCACCTCACACCTTCTTGTCACCCCAACTTAGTTCCTGCGCCTCTTCATGTCTTGTGGATTCCTAGGGATGAGGGCTGTGTCTTCGTGACTGCATCCTCAGCACCAGCATAGGCTGCAACATTGAGTTGGTGCTCAGGGGATGCCTGGATGATGGGTGGGGGTGGGTAAGGGGGGCAGTGCCTGAGTTGAGGGACACAGGTGGCTCTCGTTCCCCATGGAATATGAGTAAGTGCAGCATGTGGCCTATGGCGGGTCTTCACTTGGGGATTGTTGAATGAATGTGACCAGATGTCTAGCTTGATGAATGACTCGGGAAATGACCAGCTGGCTTGCAGGCTTCTAGGTAGGTACATGGCCCTGCCTGTGGGTCATTGTGCCCTTCTCTGGCCTCCCAGCAGACCAGAGCACAGACCCTACCTGGCCTCTGGTATGTGTATCCTAGGACTGTTCATTACCTACATGATGCTGAAGAACCGGGGGTTAACCAAGAAGGCTCAGTGAAGGCCCACCAGCAGTGAGGCTGTGGCTCCTCTCCATCCCCACCAGGGACCAAAGGTCAGAGCCTGAGGACAGTCTGGGCTCAGTGGCCTCTGCAGCCCTCAGAAGATGGAACTGCTTGGGACTCACCCCTGACGGACCCGTGCCCCTTCCTCCCCCAGCCAGCAGCGAGAGGACCTGGTGGATTCCCTGTTACTTTGTTCTTTGGGGTGCACCCTCTTCCCTCAGTTTCCCTCCTGTCACATGCTGATGTTGGGTTTAGCTGGTCCTGATGGCACATGACCTTGCCCTCCACAGTGGCAGCTTTTCTGAGTGTGACACAGTCCAGACCCCTGGACCTGGAAAGCCTGGGGAAGCACGGAGAGCCCAGATCCACTGGGGCACAGTTGTGTAGCCACACTGGGCGCCCAGCTGACCACTCTTCTTGGAGGCCCAACTCCCAGGCCCAGTGCTGGGGTGCTTGGGAGACATTGGCAATAAATGTTGATCCAACATTTGTCTTTGTGTTGTCCTTGCCTGGGGAGCTGGGCTGCAGGGGTCAGGAGGGCCTACTTGGTGCATGCCATGTCAGCTCGCCCAGGGTGAACCACTCCCCTCAGCGCCCAAGCCTATCATCCATCTCTTGCACCCAGCGGCCCCACCTAGTGTGGCTGCGAGCAGTAAGGGCTACCACTGAATCACACCAGGGCGGCTTCCATTGGGTTGAGGTTGACAACTGGCCCTGGCTCACTCAGTGCCCACTGTGCCCCCTTGCAGTGGCTCTCCTGGCTACCTAGGGAAAGCCCTGGCCCTTAAGCCTTGTGTGCTTTCTCATTCTCCAGCTGCTCCCCCTTGGCCTCCTGGGCTGCCTGCTGGGCTCTGGGTCCTACCTCCCTGCTGTAGCAGGAGACTCTGGTCACCAGTGGTCCCCTCTCCTGGGAGACAAGTGCCTCCCAGCAGGCTGAGGCACCAGACATCTACTTGAGGAGCAGGCAATTCCCTCTCAGGCCCTTTCAGGATGATCTCACCTGGCACTCCCGGTGTGGCCTGCAAGGCCCTGTATGCTCAGTGACTTTGTAATCACTCCAGCCACACTGGGCTTTCGCTTCCTGGACCTCACTGAGACCCTTTGCACCCCCTACTCACGTTGGTCCCGTATTCATTAATAGAGCACCAGTTTGTGCCAGGCACTGAGCCAGGACATGAGGCCTGCATCTTGCCCACTCTGGTGGCACTCTTATTCTAGCAGAGTGATTTACCTACCAATAAATGAATAAGAACTCTCTGACATCCAGTATGGTGGCACACGCCTGCAATCCTAGCTCTCAGGAGGCTGAGGCAGGGTTGCAGTGAGTTAGAGACCAGTGTGGGGTACACAGTTGACAGCCAGCCTGGAATACACAGGGAGACCATTTCTCCAAAAAAAAGACCCCCAAAATCTCGGACAGTGTGAAGGACGATGAAGAAAATAAAGAGAATGTGTTCAAGAGTGGGATGTGGAACTTAAAAGAGTCCTGCAAGGTGACAAGAACAACAAGGCAAGTTCAGTCTGGGGGAAAAGGACTTCAAGAGAGGGAACAGCAAGAGCAGAAGCCTCCAGGCCAGGGTTTGGGGCTGGGGAGTAGCTGGGTACACGAGCCTGCGGGGGGTAGGGCTGCAGGGTTGGAGCGTGGCTGGGAAGGGGCGTGGAGAGGGCAGGGCCACAGTGGGGAGTTTGAATTTTGTTCCATTGCCATGGGAAGCCACAGGAGGCTTTAAGCATGGCAGTGACATCATCTGATTTAGGCTTTTAAAAGATCTCTGTAGCAGCTGTGTCCCTCCCACCCGCTCTCCAACAAATTTCCGGCCCTAGGCTGGCTCCTGGGCCAAAGTGGGTGTTTCAAGAGCTTGTGTGGAATGAATGGGGGCCCTGACTTCCTGTGTGACCTGGAGGTGGTCACTACTCCCCCAGATCTTAGTTTCTTTACCCGAAAGACAGAAGTGGGAATTTCATGGCGGGGGTGGGGGGTGGGCGCCCCGGAATGTAGGGTAACCCCAGAGGCCCAGGTCCCCCACCCCACAGAGGAAATAAGGGGTCCTCCCTCCCCGGGACCCGAGCCCACGCCCGGCGGCCCCCCCCCCACACCTGGACCGGGGGACTCCTGGATGCTGCAGCCGCGGGGGCGGGACCCGCAGGCAATCGCCAGCTCCCCCCGCTCGGATTGGGCGCAGTCATGACCCGGGCCGCGCCATTGGTCGGTTGCGAGGCAGGGGCGGGGCCTGGTTCCTGCAGCTGGGCGACCGGGGACGCGGCCAAAGCCCGGGAAGCTGCAGCGGGGGCGATGGCCGCACCGAGTCCCGGGCCCCACGAGGTAGGTGCGGACCTAAGAGAGATCAGGAGAGGGAACCGTTGGTGGGGAAGGGCCAAGCCTCCCCTCCGCCAGGGGCACAGACACGCCCCCATCCCAGCCTGGGAGGGGCCCTGCCATGGGCGAGGACGGGGACACGCCCCATACAGGGCGCAGGTTTGGAGCGGGGGTGATCTGGCGGGTATCCCGGGAGGACTTCCTCGGTTTCCTCATCGGGAAAATGGGGATGGTATTAAAAGCTCCTCCTTTACAGGGACGTTAGGAGCTCTCAGCCAGTGCTGGACACGTGGTGGGTGCCCACGAGTAATGGCTCAGCTGTGTGATCTCAGTCTCTGGTGCCCCTCGGCCTGGAGGAAGTCAGCAGGGGCAGTGGAATAGATCTAAATGAATCGCGGGCAATCACGGTTGCTGCAAGCAGGGCTTCCTGTGCACAGCTTCCGGGCCAGGAGCTCAAACTCAACTGTAACCCAGCCAATACCGCCTGGAAGGAGTTACCTTAGTTTCTCGCTGCAGCTGAGGAAAAGAGGCACCAATTTGCCTGAGGTCACAGCTGGTGACAGGGTCAATCTCAGCCACGTTTGATTGCAGAATGCACACGCTGTGCCTCCTGTTGACAATAATAATAACCGTCATGCTGCCCGATGCAATGTGCAGGTCTGTGTGGCCCCTCACAACACCTGAGGAGGGAACAACATTACCCCCATTTTACAGCTGAGGAAACTGAGGCAGAGAGAGATGAGGGGAAGGCTCACAAGTAGTGCAGGTGGGATTTGAACCTGGGTCTTTCCCCTCTGCGATGCCCCTCTTTCCTTTCTGTGCCTCTTCCCACCAGGCCCTGGCCCCCTCCCCAGAGGCTGGACAAAGAGCACCCGTCTCAAGCTCCAGTCGCCGGGGCCTCCTTCGGCGCCTATGGGACAAGCAGACTCGCCTGGGGCTGTTTGAGATCGGCCCGAGGCATGAGCTCCACGGGTGGACGAGTATGATGCAGGCGGGGCTGTGGGCTGCCACCCAGGTCTCCATAGACCACCCACCCACGGTGAATGGCTGGCCACCCTACGTGCCCACCCTCAACACTCAGGCTGGTGCTCAGCCTTGCTCATGCTGCTGCATCGGGATCAGAGAAGGCTCCCCAAAAGGAGGAAGGCAGGGGCTTGGTGAAAGGAGGGTGGGACATTCTGAGATGGAAGTTGGGGAGCTCAGGGTATTGTGAGCATGAGAATCCACCTATGTGGCTGCTGCTGTGTGACCCTAGGGGTGCCTTGCCCTCTCTAGCCTCAGTGTCCCCATCTGTATAATGGGTGGAGGGGATTACACCCCCCCCTCGGTTTCTGAGGCCCTCCCAGTCCTACTAGAGTGCATGGGTGAAAAGGGCCCCCACCCCCACCCTCCCCGCCCAGCTAGTCCTCCCTGGAGCCTGGGCTGGGGCCACGCTGGTTCAGCAGAAAGGGCCACCCAACTGCAAGCTCAGCAACCGGGCGGCAGGCCCTAGTGAGCATGTGTCATTAGTGTGTGTGCACTGCCTGCAGTCGGATCACAGCCCACAGGCCAAGGCCCAGCACAGGGACCTGCAGGTCCAGGGAGAGTGGAGGCTCCTGAGGGTGTCCTCTAGACCACAACCTGACCACATCACCTGCTGAAAAGCTCCCGGGCTCCCCTGTACTCAGCATGGCTTGGAGGTAGCACCAACTGTCCAGCCCTTCCCACCTTCTGACCCTTGCTTTGCTGGCTGCAGACACTCGGGCCTCTTGCCTTGCTGGTCACCAGCCACCCGTACATACTATTTCTCTTCCCCTAAGCACCCTGTTCCTCCTCTACGCTTCCTGTCAGATCTCAGCTCAGAGGCCACCTCCCCCAGGAAGCCTTTTCTGACCTGTCCCTCCCAGCTGCTCCTCCCAGGTCACCCAGATTCCGTGTCATCCCCTTGTGCCAGGACAGAGTCTGGCTTCCCTTGGCCTCCATGACTGAGGGCATGTGTAGGCTCAAACTCAGAGCCTGGTGCTGGGGGCCCAGCTGTGGCCAAAGTCGTGTCACTGTCCTCTTCCTCCCTCCAGCCTGGGGGCGTCAGCAGCCCATCTGCACAATTCAGGGACTCCACAGGGCTCTGTGTGCCTAAGGAATCCCACTGGGGATGGGCTCAAGGCCAAGTGCGGGACTCCAGGCTGAGGAGTAGAAGTCTCAATTTGGCCTGAGACCCTCCCCCTCCCCGCAGGGGCTGCCCACTCAGGAAGATTTTTCTGAGGTCCTGACCCAGGTTCATGAGGTAGGAGGCCTGAGACTCTTGGGTGGGAGGGCCCAGTAGTGTTCTTTGCTCTTTCTTGTCTTCAGTTTCTCCACGGGGCAGTGCGGGTTATGTCTTGTCCCCAGGGGCCTTGCAGGAAGGCCTGGTCATCCTGACTCCTGCACCAGGACCAGCTGTCCCCTGGGCCCACATGGACACTCTTGGGGCTGCTCTTTCTCCCCCACAGGGCTTCGAGCTGGGCACCCTGGCTGGCCCTGCCTTTGCCCGGCTGCGGCGCTCCCTGGGCCTGGCGGAGGAGGACTATCAAGCCGCGCTGGGCCCTGGTGGCCCCTATCTGCAGTTCCTCAGCACCTCCAAGAGCAAGGCCAGCTTCTTCCTGTCGTGAGCTTGCTGCAGGGATGGGGCTCTGGGCAAGGGGAGATCCCCTTGGGGAGACCATGGTCAGGGCGGCTGGAGAGAGGGCGAGGGCCGTGTCGCAGCTGGGACCCGGGAGAGATACTGGTGCCCAGGTCAGGGCCAGAGGGCCCAGTGGGAGCCGCTGCAGCCAGGCCTGGACAGTGACCTCTTCCCGCCACCCCGCAGCCATGACCAGCGCTTCTTTCTCAAGACCCAGCGGCGCCGGGAGGTGCGGGTGCTGCTCGCCCACCTGCCCCGCTACGTGCAGCACCTGCAGCGGCACCCGCACTCGCTGCTCGCACGGTTGCTGGGTAAGCGGGCTGGGGGCGGGGCCCAGAGGACCGGTATGGGGAGGGGCGGGGCTCTGGAGGGCGGGGCTGAGAGGCAGACTTGGGATTGGATGGTCCTGGGGGCGGGGCAACACTGGGTCTGTGGAGGTGGGCACTTGGACCCCAGTTGGGAGAGGGGTCCAGGGGCGGGTCCTGGAGGGGCGGGCTCGGGAGGCTTGGCCTGGAGCTCGGGCTAGGGCCCGCAGGACTCCGCTTGTGGAGCTCGAGGCCCTCGCCTGACATCCTCTCCCCTTCCTTCCAGGAGTGCACAGTCTGAGGGTGGCCCAGGGAAAGAAGGTGGGTGAGGCCGAGGGCAGGTGGCTGGACGGAGATCGGGGCCGGAGGGGAAGATCCCGCTTCCCTCACTCGCCACCCTCGTCCCCAGAAATACTTCATCATCATGCAGAGCGTCTTCTACCCCGCCGGCCGCATCTCCGAGAGGCGAGTGGGCCAGGAGCAGGCACAGGCCCCGACCTCACCGGACACTCACTGGGCAGGCGCCACACAGAGCTCCGGGGAAGGGAAGAGACATTGCCAGGCTCCGGGGGCGCCGAAGGCGGTGGCGCCCACCTCCCGCATCTCAGCCCTGAGCCACAGCTCGTGTGCCTGGGTGCTGTCGGGGCGTTTGCTCTCCTGGTCTCCTTTACTCCTGGAGGCTACGCTTTGCTCTCATCCTCATTGTGCAGCTGAAGACCCGGGGAGGACCCAGGCCACTCGGCCAGTGCAGTGCGGATCAGGATTTCAAATTCAGCCTCTCGGTTGGGTGTGGTGGCGCATGCCTGTGATCCCAGCACTCTGGGAGGCTGAGGCAGGAGGATCGAAAGATCAAGCCCCGTCTGGGCAGTTTAGTAACTTAGCGAGACCCTGATCCCCGCCCCAAGAAAAAGGCTGGGGATGTAGCTCAGTGTAAAGGTCCTGAGTTCAGTACCAATTAGTGCAAAATAAGTAAATAAATACACACAACCCCCACCCCTGAACTCAGCCTCTCTGCACACAGTGCCAACTGTGCCGCCAGGCTCCCAATGTGATCCTCCCCATGCCCATTAGCCGCCCCCCATCTGAGATCCCTGTGTTTGGGACACTCTTGGGAATGATGAAGAGCCTTGTAGCAGGCACGAGTAGCTCTAAGGGCTGCACTAGGCTGGGCTTCCAAAGGCCCAGTCGTGCACCTCTGTGCTGCTCCCTGCCTGCCATGTGTGCTATGTGCTTGGTGCCGATGTCTCCCCGTCTCTGGCATGGGGACACTAACGGACCCTGGCTGTGCTGAGGTTTCCGGGTGCTGTGTTTAATGAGCTTGGTGCACCTGGTCACTGATGATTGCCTTGTGAGAGTTCCGTGTGCCTTGTCTGTAAAGCTGAACCTGTCCGCCTCACCCCCTAGGTACGACATCAAGGGCTGCCAGGTGAGCCGCTGGGTGGAGCCGGCCCCTGAGGGCAGCCCCCTTGTCCTGGTGCTGAAGGACCTCAATTTTCAGGGCAAGACCATGAACCTGGGTGAGCCATGTGTGTGGTTGTACCTTCCTCCATTCAGGATGAAGTTCAGATGAGGGCCCAGCATGCCTCTACGCCTGAGTCCTTAAGAACCTAGATTGTGAACAGGGTGTGGTGGTACATGCATGTAATCCCAGCACTCAGGAGGTTGAAGCAGAAGGATCACTGAGTTTGAGGCCAGCCTGGACTACATAGTGAAGCCCTGTCTCAAAAAAACAGAAACAAAAAAACAAGGCTAGATGTGATGGTGGACACCTGTAATCCCAGTACTAGGGAGGCTGAGGCAGGAGGATCAGATAACCATGAGTTTGAGGCCACCCTGGGCCATATAGTAAGTTCAAGGCCAGCCTGAACTACATAGCAAGACCCTGTCTCAAAAACAAACACACATACACACACAAACAAAACCCTAGATTCTGGAGTCAGTAGAGCAAGATTCAAATCCTGCCTCCAGAACTTGCAGGCTGGGTGAGCAAGGCAAAGTATAGATGAGTTTCCTTCCTTGTGCACCGGGGGCAGTGGTGACACCTGCCCTCCCGGGGCAGGAGCATTGGAGACCACGGCTGCCACAGGGTGAGGCTCAGGCCAGGCGCTGGTGCTCGACAGGGCCACAACGGACCTGGCTCCTCCGTCAGATGGAACTGGACACTGCCTTCCTGCGGGAGCTCCGTGTGCTGGACTACAGCCTCCTGATGGCCTTCCAGCATCTCCATGATGACGAGTGGGGCCCGGGCAGCAGCGTCATCTTCCGCATAGCCAGGTGAGCCCCTCGCCCAGATCGTGGCAACTGCAGGTGTGGGACCGATGGATAGCGAGGGGCAGCAACATACAAAGGCCAGGAAGTGCGGTATGTGTGTGTGGAGGGTAGAGGGCTGGAAAAAAGCGGCGAGAGGCACTGGGACAGGTGGACCACAGCAGAGCACAGAACTGGCCGGGTCAAGCTGAAGTGGAGAATCTGCCCACTTCTCAGCAGAAAGTGTGGATCCCAGAGGTCCGTGAGCCAGGAAAGACCGGGAGTCTGAGTTCTGCCGTAGAAAGAACCCCCCCCCATCCCAGTGGTGCCATCTGCAGCCCTGAGATCATCAGCACTGGTGCCACCATTCTGTCCTCATTTTGTGGAGTATTTGTCACTCAGTGCCTGCTGACCGTGTGCCTCACTAAGACCATGGGCTTGGTGCCATTTTATTTTATGGTTTGTTTTATTTTGAGGCAGGGGCTCCCTAACATAGTCCAGCGTGGCCTTGAGCTCACTATGGAGCCCAGGTTGGACTTGAGCTCACAATGACTCTCCTGCCTCAGCCTCCTGGCCTATCTAGTAGCCTTTTTTTTTTTTTGGTACCAGGATCGAACTCAAGTCCTTGCACTTGAGCAGCAGGTGGCGAAACCACTGAGCTAAATCCCCAGCCCTAGTAGCCTCATTCTTAAAAGTAAAACCGAGCCAAGTGTGGTGGTGCACACCTGTAATCCCAGTACTCTGGAGGCTGAGGCAGGAGGATGGCACATTGAAGCCGGGTTGAGCTACATACCAAGACTCTCTCCAAAAACAAGAAATAAAAACCAAGCTTTAAAAAAAATAGATGAAATTAATTTTAATAAGTTACTTAATACATTCAAAATCTGCTCATTTCATTTAATCAGCATGAGAATCGACGAGCTGGTCAGCTTTCTTTCCTTCACAGTGTTTTCAAAATGCATGGTGTCTGGTGCCTGCTGGCCCCTAGGGCCGTTGCCTGTGTTGGGGACAGTGCAGCCTAGACATCGGCCACCATTTCCTCTGCCCCCGGGGTCACCTGGGTAGGGGCGGGGATAGCTGGGGCTCCCTGCAGCAGGCGGAGGACTCACTTTGCTATGGCCCCTCCCAGGTCTGTGCAGGGGCCACAGATCCCAGAGGAGCCCGGCACCCAGAACCGCCGGCTGCTGCCCGACGGCCCCAACGCGCTGCACGTCCTGGACGGGCCCGAGCACCGCTACTTCCTGGGCCTGGTGGACCTCGCCACGGTCTACGGGCTTCGCAAGCGGCTGGAGCATTTGTGGAAAACGCTGCGTTACCCAGGCCGGACCTTCTCCACCGTCAGCCCGGCCCGCTACGCCCAGCGTCTCTGCCAGTGGGTCGAGGCGCACACCGAGTGAGCGGCGCCTGGCCTGTCTTCCCATCCGGAGAAAGGGCGCTCGCCAGGAGCTCGCGTGCCCGCGGCACCCGGGCAACTCGCCTGCTGTTCCTCCAAAGGCCACGAGAGGGCAGCGCCCCCTAACCAATGCTATGATCTCGCAGCCCGGTTCGGTGCTGGAGCTGTACCCCGGGTCGTGCCGGTGCCGAGGACTACGCCCCGCGATAGCTCACTTAATCTTCAAAATGCTATTATTGTCATTTTACAGACCATGAAATGGAGGCTCAGGGGGTGAAGAGACTGAGCACCATCATTCAGCACTAGTGCTGGGCCAGGCTCCACCTTGCCTTGTGGCCCCAGGAGTTCGTGGACTTAGCCGCTGCAGGCTCCTGCAGCCCTAGCCTCACGCTCTGGGGCAGGGGAAGGCAGAAGGCTTCAGTCATCCAGATGGGGAAACTGAGGCCCAGAGACTTTAAGGGGCTTATGCACGGGTAAGTGGCAAGGCCTTGAGACCCCAGGCGTCCTGGCACACGTGGGGCCCTGCCATCTCCCTCTGGGATGTGTCCCCCACCCTGGGGTGTGGGCGTGAGAGGGTGGGTGGTAGGAGGGCATCCGGGAGCCCTGGGAGGCTCTGAAGGGTCCTCTAAGGCTCTCCAGTGAACTCTGTCCTCTGACAGCCACTTTTCCCATCTGTGAAATGGGGCAGGAAGCTGGGCATATAATCCCAGAGCTCAGGAGGCTGAGGCAGGAGGATCACTGCAAGTTCAAGGCCAGCCTGAACTACACAGTGAGACCCTGTCTCCAAACAAACAAAAGAAATGGAGGCAGGGTCAGTGGTGAGATCCAGGGTCTCAGCTGCAGAGACCCCTGGGAGTCCCCATTTCCCCTCACCAGAACTTCTCCCTCCTCCAGGAAATGCCAACCTGGTCTCAGACCCTGGTCCAAAGTCCAATCCAACCATGCGTGCCCAAGGAGGCCTCTGCTTCAGAGCTGCTCTAGGGCCTGGCTGTGTGACCAGGGCAAGGTGCTGAACCTCTCTGTGCCTCAGCGGTCTTGTGTGTGCAATGGAAAGCATGAAAACAGACCTCATTAACTCATTAAATATTTATTGAGCACTGGTCATGTGACAGACTCTCTACTGGGTGATGGGAACCCGGGACAGAGCAAGATGCCTTCCCTGAGCTCAGAGGCTGGGTGATAACAGGGACCTGGTGCAACCAAACTTTGAGGGCAAGCAAGGCCACAGGGCTGGGGACGCAGCCTCACACTCTTCCATCCGCTTGGAGGGGCCCAGGCCCCGACACAGCAAGGCTTGGGCTGAGAGAGGCCATTTAGAGAAACAAACCGTCTCGGGTAGCGGGCCCAGCATGGCAGGGCTGGGCCCCTTGCCACCCTCAGGTGGCTGTCAGGAGCCGGAGGAAGGGGGCACTGCCGGCCACAGGGCTGCGGCAGGGTTCCCGGAACAGCGACAGAACAGCGATGTCACTGCTGACTGACTGTCTGGGCGACCTCAGGCGATTACTCAACCCCTCTGAGCTGGCCAGAACCACAGGAATTTCTTGTTCTTACTCTGCAGGGAATTGAAACATAGGGGTTGTCAGGCTCTGGTTGTGGCTGGGGAGGGGATGGAGCAGGACATTTAGGGGTGGCAGGAACTGGGGCGCCATGAACCGTGGCAGGGCCTGAGGCCAGAGAGAGGGAGGGGTCTGGTCCAAGACCTCAGGGGCCCGGGCTCCTGGCTCTCCTAACTCGTTAACCAGCCCCTAGTGGGGGCCCCAAGAACAGGCCTGGTCTGCTGGTGGGCATAGCAAGGACATCCCCAATACCCAGGGTGATTTCAGGCAGTAACAAATACTGTGAAGAAAATAAACCAGGTGATAGCGAGGTGTGCCTGTAACCCAGCACTCTGGGAGGCTGAGGCAGGAGGATGCAAAGTTTGAGCCCAGCCCGGGGAACTTAGCAACATACAGAGACCCTGTCTCTAAATGCAAGAATAAAAATGGGCTAGGGATGCAGCTCAGTGTGAAGGCCCTGGGTTCAATCCCCAGTACTGGAAAAATGAGTAAAATAAACCAGCTAAGACAAGAGGAGTGAGGGTGCAGTGTCAGGTAGGGTATTTGGCAAGGACTTTTCTGAGGAGGTGGTGCTTGAGCGGAATGACGAGAAAGTCACGTGATAGAGCCGGAGAGGTAGAGGATACAGTGAACGCAAAGGCCCTGGGATAGGAATAAGCTGCACGTGACCTGGGGACAGAGGGTGGCCAGGACAGAGGGAGAGAGACCCAGACCAAAACACCCAGGGACTTGCTATGTACTTCAGGTTGGCCTTGAACTTGAGGTGATCCTCCTGCCTCGGCCTCCCAAGTGTGACATCATGCCGGCTTTTTTGGGGGGGGTGCTTTTTGAGAGAGGATCTTGCTATGTGGAGAGAAATGTGAAGGAAAAGGACCTAGGGGAACCCAGAAGGGCTGTCCCACTGCAGACCCCTTTTGTGGGTCAAGAAGCACTTGCATTGAAAGGAGGCCTGGAAAGGGCGGGGCCCCTTTGCCTGCTGTCCCTGCCGAAGGAAGAGGATCTGGGAAGGCACAGGGATGGAGGACACCAGGTCCAGGGTCCCCAGGGCAGGGCAGGCTTGAAGGTTCCTGAGCTGGGGCCAGACACCCTGGTCCCTGAAGATATTTGCAAGCAAGACATTTTCCCAAAGCTCACATTTCAGCCTCTGCCAGGGTCACCCTGAGCTGACCTGGACTCGGAGGCCAGGGAGGTGTCAGAGCCTGGGCTCTGAGAGAAGCTGCCCGTGTTCAAGCCTGACTCTGCTGCGAGTGACTCCTGCACATCTCGCTTTACAGAGGAGAGAAACGGAGTCTCAGACGAAGGTTACGTGAACATAATCAAAATAAAACAACCAGCTGGGCAAGTTGGGACACGCCTCAATTCCAGCTGCTCTGGATGCTGAGGCTGGAGGGTCACAAATTCAAGGCCAGCCTGGGCAACTTAGCGAGACGCTGTCGCAAAATTAAATAAATAAAGAAAAAAATTAAATAAGAAAGGTTGTGGATGAAGCTCAGGTAGAACTCTTGCCTGGTACATGTGGAGCCCTGGCTTCAACCGTCAGTACCAAAAAAGAAAATAAAACAATTCTATTAAAAACAACTCGTTTCTTCATTGTTTATCTGAAATTCCAATTTAATTGGGCGTGTTCTATTTCACCTGCTAAACTCGGCAACTCTACCCGCGTGAACCCCGACCAAAGCCCAGGTCCTGCCCCCATTTCAGAAATAGATTCTTTTGATTTTCTCTTTCGTTTGCTTTTTATTTTTTGAGACCAGATCTCACTATGTAGTTTAGGCTACCCTTGAACTTACAGTCTTCCTGCCTCAGCCTCCTAAGTGCTGGAATTACAGGAGTGTGTCACCAAGTCTGACAGTTCAGAAATGGAGACACTGAAATCGGAGTGGCGTGGCAGCCACTGCACGGTGGCTCCGACATCCTCTAGCTCTGCCATCCGGTCCCGGGGCAGGAAACGGGCAGAAACCCGGCAGAAACGCGAGAGAAAGAAATAGCGAAGATGCTCGGCTCAGACTCCGCCCCCGATGCCGAGGTCCCGCCCCCAGCCCCGAGGCATTGTCGCCGGCGCGCGCACGTCCGTCCGGGGTCGCGCCGGCTGCGCTAGTAGGCCCCGCCCCTGCCCCGCAGACCCCGCCCCCGGCCGCGCGGGTTCGTCTTCCCCCCGGCAGGAGCTGCCGCCGAGGCGCCGCCTCCGCCCCGGGGCCCCGGCTTCCAGCCCGGCTCGCCGGACATGGAGCTCCGCGCGGCGGATCGAGAGGCTCCGGCGTCCCCCGATCTGCCTGCTTGGTTAGGGCCCGGCCCGGGAGGAGGCGGTGGAATCGCTAGGCGGGAGGGAAAAGCCCAAGTCCTGCCGTCCCTGGCTTCTCGGGTCCCGCGGGGAGGGCGGATGGAGGGGTCGCGACCTTGAGTTCGGAGCGCCTCGCTCTGCTTCTACTTCCCCCTGTGCCACGGGGAAGAGTTGGCGCGGGGGCCCCCAAAGGTCGCCTGCAGCTCCTTTGAGGTGCTACACTGCTGCCCGAGGTTGGAGACTTTAAGGGGCTTGGTGCCCAGGGGCCTCTCCCTGATCCCAGCCTGCACCCTCCCCTGCCTCAGTTTCCCCCATATCCTGGGGACCCCCCCCCATCCCTTCCCAGCTCTGATTTTTGGGTCTTAGCAGGTGCCGAGCTGACATCCCTTCCCAGCCCGAGCCCTGGGGACAGCAGCTCCAGGACTGCTGAGGGCCCGTGGCAGCATGAAGGCTCAGGTAAGTGGCACAGAGGGCGGGCGGAGGCCCAGGGGGAACTCTATCTTGCAGCAGTCTGGGACTGATAGTCACACTTTCTGTGGTTTTTTGTTTTTCTCGATGTGGGGGTTCAAGCTCTGGGCCTTGTGGCTGTTGAGCATGTGCTGCTGCTCTGAGCTACGTCCGTGGTCACTTCTGACGCCACTGCCCACAAGAAAGGCAGCTGGCCTCAAGGGTCAGGCCTGCTCTGTGTGACCCCAGGCAGTGGCATCTGCATTTTGGTTTCAGTTCCTTGCTCCCCTCACCAGTAAAATGGAGGTAAGAGGACCAGCAGGTCACGAAGGTGAGGGCTGCCAGTGGGGACTGAAGGTTCAGATCCTGACTGAAGGCTCAGGCCGGGGGCTCCTGGCTTTACTCAGGAGCCCCCTGGCTGTGGGGAGAGACCCAGATGTTGGGAGGTTTGAGCTAGCCTCTTCTCCCCTAGTCAAGGTCTCAGGGTTTGGCCTCTCCTGGGCAGGGGACTAGATGCTAGGCAGAGCCTGAACACTTGGCCTCGAGGAGGAGTCTTTTTTTTAAAGCTGCTGTGGCTTGTTGGCGGAAAAGAAAGGGGGCCCTTGCCAGGATACCCCTGGGGGCTGGGGTGGGGCTGTTTTCCTGCCTGTGGTTTTCAGAGAGCACCAGCTGCTGGTCCCAGAACCCTGGAGCCCAGAGTCACACAGGTGTTGCCTGCCATGTCCCAGCACACAGTAGCAGACCCAGGTCCCAGCACACAGTAGCTGCAAGATCCTGGAAGGCCTGGTGGGGGATGAGGCTGGGCCCAGATTCGAGGGGCGAAGGGCTGCCTAGTACATGTGGCTTTTGGACTGTGGTTTCCAGAGGCGGGAATCCCTGGACAGCAGCTTTCCGATTATGGAAAGGATGGCTGGAAGGATGCTTCCCTTGGGCCCTTCCACCACCTGGGCTCCAGATCATCAGCTCGGGGACAGCCACTGAGTCAGCAGAGGATGGGGATGGAGGTACAGCCGGGGCTGGCATGGGATCTGGTTAAAGCAGACTGTGGATTCCAGGAGCTGCTAAAGGGGGGTGTCTAGACTTGGGAGGCCAGTGTGGCCCCCATGTTCCCCATGACTGTTGTCTCTCAGGGTCGCCTCCTGCTCCTTGTCCTGTGCTCCTTGGTCGTCTCTGCCATCTACATCCTCCTCTGCTGCTTGTCCTGCCTGCCCCCATGCCGGGCCACCTGCCTGGACCACCACCTCCCTGTGGACTCCAGCCCCACCGCGCCGGGGCCCCTGCACTTCAGGGGGTACAGCAGTGTGCCTGATGGGAAGGTGGGTCTGCCAGGGAGCATGGCACCTGGGTGTCTGAGCCCAGGCCTTTTGCATAGAGCATAGAATGCCTGGCTGCCCACGGCCAGGTCATGGGGAGACTGAGGGCCAAGGGACACCGTGGCCGCCATTGAGAGCTGCTATTGGGTGGGAGAGACAGACACCACCATAGCACACAGACGTGTGCCTTGGGTGCATCTTTAGATTTACCGACCCACCCGCCATCTGTGCAGCAAGTGTACACGTGGCACCTGCAGGCTGTGTGGCTTTGTGCTGAGCTGATGGTGATTTTCCTGTTTTGTTTTTTCTCTTTTTTCCTTTGAGATAGGGTTTCACTATGTAGTTCAGGCGGGCCTTGAACTCACTATGTAGCCCAGGCTGCCCTTGAGCCTACAGGGATCCTCCCTCTCAGCCTCCTAAGCACTTAAATTACAGGCATGATGCAGCATGCCCTGATTTTCCTTTTTTTTTGGTATGGGGGATCAAACTCAGGACCTGGTGCTTGCAAGGCAGGCGGCGGAACCACTGAGCTAAATCCCTGGCCCCATGCCGTGATTTTCTTAAGAGAAGTGGGAAATCCAGATTTTGAATGTCAAAGGAGTCTTTTTTATTTTTTCTATTCTGGAGATTTCCTAGGCTGAGGCAGGAGGATTGCAGTAAGTTCAAGGCCAGCCTGAACTACATAGCTCATTCCTGTCCAAAAAACCAAAAAAACAGGGCCTGCTACATCCTCCTTGGCTCAGCCTCCCAGACTGTTGGTATTATAGGTGTACATCACTGTGCTTGGCTAAAAGAGCCAAATTTATGTGTCAGGGGTCAATGCGAAACCTTGAAAGACCTCGTGAAGATGCACATGACACCTCTTGGGGTCCATGGTGACCTAAACAGAACAGCTTGTTGGGCCAGGGATTCAGCTCAGTGGTTTCGCCGCCTGCTGCGCAAGCACAAGCGCAAGGACCCGAGTTCGATCCCTGGTACCAAAAAAAAAAAACCAAAACCAGCTTGTCACTGCAGGCCATACTGGGGGCAAATAAGGAAGTCTTGTTCTTATCACTGGTGTTCGGACAAATGAGCCTCTGTGTGTCCTTACGTCAACATTAGTCAAGTGTGCAATGCCTGCTAGTGGGGCAGGACACTGTCCTTTCTGGACTGGAATCTATGTCCCACGTCTTTGATACACTTTGGCAAACCCGAGTTCCTGGACGGTACAGAGGCCTGGGTCATTTCCTGAACAGGTGTGGCTCATTGGCTGCCTTTGCCCCTTGGGAGATAATGAGATGGCTTCAGGCCCTTGCTGTGCCCAAGGTCTGTACCGCCCACTCCCTGGGCACTTATTTCTTAGTTACTTTTCTTTTTTTCTTTTTTTTGGTACCAGGGATTGAACTTGGGTCCTTGCGCTTGCAAGGCAGGCAGCGGAACCCCTGAGCTAAATCTCCGGCCCTTAGTTACTTTTCTTGTTGCTGAGACAAAATACCTAACGTCCACAGGTTAAAGGAGGAAAGGTTTACTTGGCTCTCAGTTCGTGGGGTGGCATGGCAGAGGGGCATTGCAGAGGAGAAACTGTTTATGGTAGGCAAAAGACAGCAAAAATAAGCCAGCAACAAGCCAGTTTCTGTCGCTTATATCTTTTTTTTTTGGTACTGGGAATCGAACTCGGGACCTTGCGCTTTTGAGGCAGGCAGTGGAACCACTGAGCTAAACCTCAGCCCTGTCCCTTATAGCTTATTCAGGCTGCACCTTAATCCTAGCATTGTACCATGAATCAGTCCTGGGATCACACACTGTACATCCAGCCACCACTGAAAAAGCCCCACCTATGACCACATGAGGCTTTGAGAAAAACGTCTTTTTTTTTTGAGACAGGGTCTTAATCTGTAGTTCAGGTCGGCCTTGAACTCACTATGTAAGCTGGTCTCAAACTCCTGGCAGTCCTCCTGCCTCTGCCTCCTCCTGAGTGTTGGGATCACAGGCAGGCGCCACCACACCCAGTTTAAATGTTTGTTTCTGTAATGCTGGTGAAATACTCGATGTAGGGACTTAGGATTTAGTAACAGACACAGGAGGGATGTGGTTCATGAGGAGGCCTCCGGTGTGAGCATAGGATCAGAGCTTTGTCACCTGCCAGCCTGCCGGGGCAGTAGGGTCAGACCTTGGAGCTGATCTGCTGGCCACGGAGGAGGCCTCTGGGTGTGGTGGATGGGCAGGGGCAGGCAGTGCGAGCTCCCAGCTCCCGCTCTTTCTCTCTGCCTCCCCCTGCAGCCGCTGGTCCGAGAGCCGTGCCACAGCTGTGCCGTGGTGTCCAGCTCCGGCCAGATGCTGGGCTCCGGCCTGGGTGCCCAGATCGATGGTGCCGAGTGCGTCCTTCGCATGAACCAGGCACCCACCATGGGCTTCGAGGCGGATGTGGGCCGGCGCAGCACCCTGCGTGTGATCTCGCACACCAGTGTCCCGCTGCTGCTGCGTAACTACTCGCACTACTTCCAGCAGGCCCGAGACACGCTGTACATGGTGTGGGGCCAGGGCAGGCACATGGACCGTTCACTGGGTGGCCGTACCTACCGCACGCTGCTGCACCTCACACAGATGTACCCGGGGCTGCAGGTCTACACCTTCACTGAGCGCATGATGGCCCACTGCGACCAGATCTTCCAGGACGAGACCGGCAAGAACCGGTGAGCCGGGGCAGCCGCCCCCACCGAGGGCCTCTCATGGGCCGGGGTTGGCGCTGGGGGTCGGCACAGGCCTCGTGTCTGGAGGCCGCTCTGATAGGAGAACCAGTTGTGGTAATAACCGCCGTCTTCCACACCAAGCATTGGAGTAAACGCTCCACATGTCAAATCCTGTTCTCCCTGAAAGAGCCTCAAGTGGTTCAGCCAAAAACGTGGGCTCATGGAGTCAGATGTGGTGGTTTGTGCCTGTAATCCCAGTGCTGTGAGAAGCTGAGACAGGAGGACCACAAGTTCCAGCCCAGCCTGGGCAATTTAGTGAGACCCCATCTCAAAGTTAAAAAAAACAAAAAAGATCTTGAGTTTTGCCCCAACTGCCCTCAGGCCATCCTTTCCTACGTGCACGTGGCTCTTACATTTTCTATGCACGTGGGCGCCATCTTGACCCAATCCACAGTCTTTTCCTGCACCTGGATGCTGTCCCTTCTTCTCCTTGCCACTCCTTGAACTCACAGGATCTTGAATTCGCTGTGTAGACAACTCACGTGGAGCTGTCCTCCTGCCTCAGCCTCCTGAGTGCTGTCATTCTCTTTTCATCCTTCTATTTCCTTGTCTTTGCAGCAGGTGTCACACTCTGACACCATCTTATTTGTATTTGTTACCCAGCAGCTCCCTCCCTTGGGAGTGTTAGCACCTGGTGTGGCAGGTTCAAGGCCAAGACGGGGCCTGGGAGGTTTGAATGAAAGAGCTGCTTGGGCTGGGCCGCCTCGAGCTGAGACCTGGATCCTAGTGGGCCGCCTCGAGCTGAGACCTGGATCCTAGTGGGCCGTGGGACTGGGCTGCCCCTCCCTGTTGCCACCTGTAATTACTCCCATTTCACAGAGGGGTCACAGGCTCAGAGAGGTTAATGGTAAATCTGATGCCCCACAGTGGATGCAGGGTTGGAAGACTCAAAACACTCCCCTACTCTTTTTTTGGGGTCCTGGGGATCCTACCCAGAGGTGCTCTACCACCTAGCTATACCCCAGCCCTTTTTTGTTGTTTTGAGACATGGAGTCACTAAGTTGCCCAGGCTGTTTCTGAACGTGCGCTCCTCCTGTCTCAGCCTCCTGAATAGTTTGGATTACAGGCATGTGCCATCACGCCCATCTGCTCCACCACCCTTATCCACTGTCTCTGTGGCCCCTGCTGTCTCCCAGGCCTGGTTCCTTAGATGAGGAGAGGATCTGGCCAGAGCCCCACCCCAGCATCCCAGGTGCAAAGCCGGGCTTGGTTGAGCCCTGTGGGGGCGGTAGGCACACCTGGTTCTGCAGCTAGCTCCCCTCTTGCCTGCCGTTGGCCTTGGGCGCCCCCAGAAGCCCCTGTGTGTGGCCTTTGGTGTGCAGAGTGTCATGAGTGCGGGGTGTTGGCAGGGCCCGTGACGCGTCCCCATCTCCCCCAGGAGGCAGTCCGGGGCATTTCTCAGCACCGGCTGGTTCACCATGATCCTGGCCCTGGAGCTGTGTGAGGAGATCGTGGTCTATGGGATGGTCAGCGACAGCTACTGCAGGTCAGGTGGCCGCCCACAGGAAGGGAGGGCAGGGGCACCCGGGCCCCTGGCAGGGGATCCAGGAGCTGTGGGGGTTGCATGTGGCAAAGGCGCCAAGCCCAGCCCTGCTGGTGTGGCCCCGGGCTGCCTGCCACCTCCTGGAGCCCCAGTCTCTTTGGGTGTAAAATAGAGAAAAGAATTGAGCTTTCTGAGCTGGGTTCTGTGGCACATGCCTGTAATACCAGCACTTTGAAATTATGCTTTTTTTTTCTCTTCAGTACTTGGAATTGAACTCAGGACCTTGCAATTACAAGGCAGATGTGGTGCCACTGAGCTAAATCCCCAGCCCAGTCCCAGCACTTTGAGACGCAGGAGGATCTCAAGTTTGAGCCAAACTTGGGCAGCTTAGTGAGAGCCTATCTCAAAATAAAAAGAGCTAGGGATGCCAGGGATTTAGTTCAGTGGCACCAAATCTGCCTCGCAAGTGCAAGGTCCTGAGTTCGATCCCTGGTACCACAAAAAAAAAAAAAAAATCTGGGACTGTAGCTCAGTGTGAAAGCCCTGGGTTCAAGCCTCAGTGACACACACACATACACACAAATTGAGCTTTTTGGGCTGGGGGTGTAGCTAGAGGCCCTAGTTCCTCATTTCCATCCCCAGCTCTGGGGGGAAAAAATTGCACCTTGGGACCTTTCTGAGAAGGTTGTTGAACCAGTTAGAGAGAACAATCTAGGAAAGTCCCTCCCACGTATCAGGGGGATGTGTAGATATTCAACATGTATCCTGACAGAGTAGAAATAACTTTTTACTTTTGTTACTGTTTGAGCATCCTAACATCCAGTTCAGGCAAGAGAGGATATTTTGCAACGCTGTTACATTATTATACTTCAGTGTTACTGTAACCCTGGGGCAGAGGCACCAATATTCAGGGCTCTTCACTTTGGAACTTGTTTCACAGCACCCAGCCCTGGCCAGACTGGTGGCCTGTGGCCTGCTAGGGACCCTGGGCAGCAAGTGGGGCACGCAGGGCTGGCTGCCTCTGTGCATGGGGAGACAGGGCCCAGCTGCCCAAGACCAGGCGGGGTCCACATGGGCACCCAGGGAGTGGTGGGGGGGGAGATGACAGTGTCCCACTGGCCATGTCCCCACCCTGCAGGGAGCGGAGCCACCCCTCAGTGCCTTACCACTACTTCGAGAAGGGCCGGTTGGACGAGTGCCAGATGTACCTGGCCCATGAGCGGGCGCCTCGGAGTGCCCATCGCTTCATCACAGAGAAGGCCGTGTTCTCGCGCTGGGCCAAGAAGAGGCCAATCGTGTTCGCCCACCCATCCTGGAGGGCCGAGTAGCCGCCGTCTGACACCTGCCAGCCACCAGACTTCCACCTGGCCTGCATCTCATCCCAGGCCACCACACTCCACCAAGAGCATTTAATTTATGGCTCTGCCTCCTGCCACATGCCGGGTGGACCTCGGGCTCCTTCCTGCCCCACCCTGGGGACACCCGGAGCCATCTCCAGCCTTATGCGTTGAGGAGGACTGGAGGGGCTTCTTCTCCACTCCAACTCCCTGAGAAATCATGTCTTGATTTGGGGGTTCAGCCCACCCACCACCAGGTCTCTCAAGTGGCCTTTGCCCCTGGGGCCAGTGGCCCCACACACCAGCATCATAACCTGTGCCAGTCCCTGTCCACCCCCTACCCATTCCAGCTGTCTCTGGTGCCAACTTTTCAGGCAGGGGCTCTGGCCAGCGTAGCCAGGATCCTGGGGTTTGTGGGGCTGGGGGGCCTCAGAGCGTGGGCACCACGGCAGTCTCCGGAGCGTACGGGTAAAAGCGTTTTCTGGACACTGTCTGGAGTGGTTGTGTGTCCGAGGCGGGTACTGGGGCTTCCTTTGTGGGACAGTCCCGTAACATATTGACCAGAGGGCTGGCCGAGCCCTGTGGCCCTTCCCAGCCTACCTCCGGTGCACATGCACCCCTCTGCCCCGAAGCCTTCCTGCCAGCCCCACGGCTGCTGCCCCAGGAGATAGGACCGAGTTGGATGCTTCTAGGGACCCCTGCCCTGGACCCCACAGGAACGGAGTCAGGGCCTAGTAGGATGGGGTGGGAAGGGAGGAAATTCCCCCACCCCGCATCGCCTTCCTGGCCCAGGGGTCAAATTCCAAAGAACTTGGCAGTTAAATTCTCTATTAATCTCGAGGTTGGTCACTTTATAGAGAGGAAGGCAGAGGGCAACTCTGTGAGGACATTGCTGGCCCGGAAGTGAGGCCTATGCTGGCCCTGGCTGTGGCCCAGACCTCAGGCCAGAGCTCTCCCATCTCTGAGCTCCATTTTCCTCACCTGTGAAATGGGAAGAGCAGACCCACCATCCAACCACCAGTGTGGCCTCAGTCATGGGAGGCTGAGTCAGGAGGAATCAGACCTGAGAGCTGCGCCGAAGGCCTCAGCCTGCACCAAGGAGGAAGAGCCCCCAGGAGGAGTCCATCCCTTCCCTCCCTCACTGGGAGACTAACGTCAGAGCATGACCTTCTAGGTCTCAGCCTTGTCTGGGCCTCATGTATGACCCGAGCCTTGGGTTTAGCTTCAGGCTCTGCTGTCACCAACTTGAAATGCTTCATCTCCACCCCCCCACTCCCCCCAGGAACAAGACCTCGAGAATGACATGGCCAGTCATGCTGAGGGCTCTGGGTGACCTGGGGGCACTCCCTCCTGCCCTGCCTTCTCAGGAGACTCCTGGCACTGGCCCAAAGCACTGCCCTTGGGCCAGTGCCAGGGGGGCCCAGGAGGCAGGAGAACCTGGAGTGGGGGGAGCAGGGTGATGCCAGAACCCAGCCTGGGCCCGAACTTGGAGCGATCCTCCTGCCTCAGCCTCCTGAGTGGTGGGATTGTCGGCCATGTCCGGCTGCATGGTTGGCATTTGGTGTGTAGGAGCCATCATTTTAGATGGGATCATCCTCTTTAGCCGGCGCGCCCCTGCCGTGGTGGTGGGCAGCAGGCTCTCTGCTCCAAGTCTCCCTGCTCACGGTCTCCCGTAGGTGTGCAAGGCCAGGAAACTGCAGTCCTGATAGATTTGAATCCCCCTCCCTGGAGGTGGGCACTTCCTCCTCCATCCTCCAGCAAATGCTGGCCCAGCCCTTGGACCCAGCGTACAGAGGCTCCTCTGTCCTGGCCCTGCCCCGGGGTGCAGTGTTTACTGCTGGGCTGGCACAAATACTTGTCTTTCTGGGGTGGCAACCTACAAGGAGGGACCTGCCAGCCACTTCCTCTGGGCACACAAAGATGCACCCTGGCAGGTCTGCCAGCTGCTTTGGGGTCTGCCTAGGGGTCCAGCAGTGAAGCTGCAGATCCCCTCCCCACTTTGAGGCTGCGGGAAGGTAAGTGGTGGGTCGGAGTCACCCTACATCCTGGAGGAGGAGGAGTGCAGCCTCTCCGGGCCTGCTTTCCTGCCCACATCCTGGTCCTTTACCCCTCCATGGACCCTTGAGGTCCACCTGAGCCCAGAGTCCCAGAGGCTCCGTGTTCAGAGTGGCGGCCTCATCTACACATCTATGCAGGGCCAGGCTGCCAGGCGTCCTGGCTGTGCTGAGCTCCGGCCCAGGGCTGCCGCTGTGGATGTGACTGTGCCTCTGTTGGGGAAGAACCACCATGAGGTTTGGGAGCAGTGTTTGTGGGGCCACTTGGTGCCCGGGCCCCGTCTCACTTCCCCAGATGCCCCTCCTGTGGGCTCCTTCTGGGCACCAGAGTCCCCAGGCCTGTTTCCTAGCCAGGCTCTGTGAGGCCCCAGGAGGAGCCTTGGGCCAGCTGTGTGCAGCGCCCCCCCCTCCCCGGCCTTGGCTTTGGCCTCAGATTGGGAGCTGGGTGGTAGACTGGCTTTCTCAGGGCTCTTTCTGGAACCCCGTGGAAGGGGGAAATCACCAAGAGCACAAAGAAGTTTGCTAAGGGGCCAGGGTGTAGCCCCGTGGTAGAGCACTTGCCTAGCATGCACAGGGCCCCGGGTTCCAGCCGCAGCACCAATGCATGCTCCACACACGTTTGCTAAGGGGCAGAAAGTGGGTGTGGGGGGTCACATGCAGCACCCCCGCTCCTGAGGCAGGAAGGGCTGAAGCAGTGCGGGCTCCTCCAGGGCATGGTGTGGGGCCTGAGGGGAGGACCGGTGTTGGACAGGTCAGCGAGGACAACCAGAGCTGCCACGGCCCCCATCCCCCAGTGTCCCCTGGGGCCTGGCCCAGCATTCCCAGGCTTGGGGTATTAATCCTCGCCCTGCCACCTGTGTGTTCGGAGCCTCAGTTTCCCCTGGAACGTTGGGGTAAGAGTGGTTACCCTTGGCAAGGGTTATTTTATGGATTCTGTGGGGTATGTCTGCAAGGTGTTGGTGCAGAAGTGGGCAGCCAACCTGGAGCTCCCCGTCCTCACTTGTGGGGGAGGATCCTGTTCCCAGGGCCCCCAAGGGAAGCCAGGGCTGAGCAGAGCCTCCTGCAGTAGGCCTGGGCCCAGGAACATCACAGGCCTGAGGGGGGAACTCAGGTCCCGCTGTGGTCCCGAGGCTGGGCTGAGGCACCCCCTCTCACTTTTGGGGTTCCACGGCTTGGGTTGGGGAGAAGGGCTGGAGACAGGATGCTTCTACCTTTGGTGCAGCCTCTCACCTGGACCCCTGGGTCAGGGTCATCAGCCCCCCACCCCCCGACTTCCAGCCCCCCATGGTTTTCCATTCTGCAGCAGGGCAGTGTGGCCATGAGCACCTGGATAGGACTGGGCTGAGGCTCAGGAAGTGGTGATCCAGGACACTGGGCAGGCAGGAAGCGCGTGTCTACTCCTGGGGTTTGCCATGCCCCTTCCTGATGGCAGATGCTTTTACAGCTCCAACAATGGACCTTGCCCCACAGCCCTGTCACTGACGTTTGTTTTAATTAAAAACAGAATGTTACTAACTTACCAAAGGAGTACAATGCAAACATCCTAGAAGTTTATAAAGCTTTTAAAAGTTTATACCTGGCAACCACAAGGTCCTGAGTTCGATCCCTGGTGCAAAAAAAAAAAGAAACCTAATAAAAATTTACAAAGTAAAGGTAGCCCCAGCCCTCCCACCCCACCTACCCCCTGCAAGGACACTGTAGCCAGTAGTCCCTGTGGCTTTGTCCTAACATCTACATGTGCATTTACACATACGGTTACCTGCTATGCATAAGTGACTGTATTAAAGAAAAGCCAGATGTGGTGTTGGGAGGCTGAGACAGAAGGATCACTTCGAGTTTGAGGCCAGGCTAGACTACATAGCGAGACTGTCTCAAAAACAAAACGAAAGTAAAAAACAAAGTGAGCAAGGCTGGGGATGCAGCTAGTGGTACAGAACAGCCTCCTTCACTTGGCTTTTAAAACTATTTTTTTTAATTTATTTGGGTTTTTGAGATAAGGTCCCACTATTAGTTCAGGCTGGCCTAGAATTCACAGCAATCATCCTGCTTCAGCCTCCTGAGTGCTGGGATTACAAGCTGGTGTCACCACACCCAGTTTCATACTTTAATCACTGTTACAGATGAAAGCTGTCTCTTGAGAAGTGGGGTACCGCCTGCTGTGCTGCGGCCACACTGTATTGTATAGTCTCCTTCGTCTGCCCACACTGTCCACTGCCATGTCTCTAAGGTCCATCCTGTGAGGGCGGCTCATTCATTTCCCTTACTATATAATTTTCCCCAGTGTGAATGGGCCATCGTGTAAAAAAAAAAAATCCCTTCTGTTGAGAGCTACTTGGCCCATTTCCACATCTGTATTATTTCAAGCAGGGCTGCTAAAGACTTGGACATGTATATTTACAAGGATTTCTCCAGGGTCTATGTACCCAGATCTGGAATGGAAATTTTTACAGTTTCATTTTCCAAGGTAGTTACACAAGATGCAGTTCTATAAACTTGCTTTAAGTATCCTGTAAATGTCCTGCCTACCATATCGACCTGCCTACTTCATTTTAAGAGCTTGCCAGTGGCTTCCCGGTCTAACAATGGCCACTTAAGTTGTTATTTTTCTTTTTTTTTTAGTTGTTATTTTTCAAAGGCACATAAAATGATGTAATGAGTACCCTGGTAATTAAAAGAAATAACATTTTAACTCCTTATTGTCTCTATATTCTAGAAGGAAAAGGAAGTAATGTACAGTGGCCCCTCAAGTGATGACTGGCCTGACATACGAACAACCTGGGTTATGACTGGAATTTTAGTTTTAACTTACCACCAAAGTATTAAATTATGAACCAAATGCCAGCCTCGTGTGCTTCCAGATGGTCTCAGATACAGATTTAACTCTTAAAGAGTTCAGGAGGCAACATGACAACATCCTTTCCTGTGTGGGGTTCATTGAGAAATCCTGGGCCAATGTCTCTCTAAGGACACTGACATCTGCCTATGTACAGGAGAGAGACTTGAAGGCTGTGTAGAGGAGCCTGAGCCTTCAACTGACCAACCTGAGTTACAACCAGCCCTCAACAAATTGAGTGCCTAAGTCAAGGGTCCACTGTATCAAGGTTGTGCAGTTAACCAAGTATGGCTGGCACACACCTGAAAATCCCAGCACTTCGGGAGACTGTGTCAGGAGGATCTCAAATTCAAGCCCAGCCTGGGCAACTTAGTGAGACCCTGTCTCAGTATTCAGTATTTTAAAAAACGACTGCGGTGTAGCTCAGCTCAAAGGTCCGGTTCAGTCCCAGTACAGGAGGAGGGAGGATGGGCAGTTGCAGATGGCAGAGGAGTCTTGAACTCGGACACTGCCCAGGTGACCCCTGTTCAGGGAGCTGGAACCCCGAGCCCAAGGAGAAACCTGCTCGACTGTGTCCAAGCCCAGCGCTCTCTCGGACTGTTTCCCCACCTGGGGTCTCAGTCTCTCTTAGAGAGTTGGGCCAGATTCACGCCACAGGCCCCCCAAGACAGTGGTCTGCTCCGTTGTCACTGCGGGCTGTCCAGAGGCCTGGCGGATGCGCTCCGCTGCCGGAGACCAGGGTCTCCCACCCCTTCCCCCTCGCGGTCCGTCCCCCCATGGGGCGGAGCCACTGGCGTTGGAGGCTCCGCCCTCCTCGCAGGCCCCGGCCAGGCGGTGAGCGGCGGCGCTAGGACCCGCCGGCGGGGCTGCGGCGGCCTGGGCCGAGCGGCGCGACCCCGGCTCCGGTCCCGGCGCCCTGTGAG